AAATCGATTTTTTGACTGTTGCCAGAAAATTTCGATTTTGTTTGATTTTTGCTGACATCTACTCTTAAGAACTAACACAATGGTAAACATACTGCACCATACAGTAAGGGTGAACGGGTTGACAAAGTGCGTCATAGGTTTCTGAAGACAAGAGTGGGATGAGTGGAATTTTTCGAGGATTTTGGTTCTTCTCACTAATAGAAAAAAAAGTGAAGAAGAACCAAGAATCGAACTCAGCACCTTGGCACCAAAGAACTACTACAATGCCAACCCCAACCCTAACCCTAAACCTAACCACTCAACCACGAAGTGAATTCGCTTGAATGGTCTCATTTTTTAGTCATATTTAAGCGATGTATCATCAGCATGTGCACATAAATATTTATTATATCTTAATTTATGCTATCGTAGGGTACAACTACTAGCTGAGTGCTCGAAATTTGAATTTGAATAAAATTCCCCTGACAATTTCCCTACACAACAATATAGCCACAGTAGGCGGTTGGTAACTCTGTTTACTGACCACTTAATACAAGTACAATGTACCTTCACCTATTACAGCTGTCTTAATTGTTTGTCATCTTTTGTATTAATTTATTCATCACAGCCAGGTAGCAACAGTACGACATGATATAGCTACAGTATGACTAGGAACTCACTGTCATCATTATCATAAAGCATTTAGTGAAGCTCCAACATTTGTTTCCCAGACCCTCTGTCTTATTCTTTGTTTGCACATGACGTCGTAGTCGCCATGTTGGATAATTTTAACGAAAGAATTGTCAATGAATTCTTTTGTTGTATCATCCAACATGGCTGCCGTGTCTTGTTATTTCACTCCCTTGGGAATGATTGAAAACCAGCAATCAGTAGAGTTATTAGTTGGTAGTTGGTTCTCAGGTTCTTCTCCTTCACATAAAAACAACTTTTAAATTTGATCATGGAAGAAGGTCCACAAAATTTAATTTGTTAGCCACTACTACCACTGTTTTTATTGCTACGAGCTGATCAAGATGACAGTCAAGTCAGGAAATTATCAGACAATAGACTAACGTCAATCAAATAAATTGTTCCCATGTACCTTCGTAGTTACCATGGTATGCCTTTATTTACCTAGTGTAACAATAAATTTGATTGGCAGTAGTCTATTACCTGTTTTCACTGTCATGACTATTGGGTTTAGAATGTTGTCTCAATCAGTGCATAGCAATGAAGACAGTCATGGTAAGTGGTACTCTCACAAATCAAAGACTGGTAAAAATTTTGTTATACGTTGATGGCTGATGTGAATACCATCAGCAAAAGGTCGCTATGCAGGGCTTGAAATAGTGGCCTGCCAATGGCCAAATGACAGGACAAATTTCAGGTTTGGCAGGCAAAAATGATGATGCACTGCCAATTGAATAATAAAAGTAAGATCTAAGATGTAAGATGTAAGATGCGGCATGCAACAAGCAACATGCAACAAGCAACATGCAACATGCAACATGCAACAAGCAACATGCAACATGCAACATGC